TTCCTTTCTCAATCTGGATGCACTAATCCCATACCAGAATCTACTGAGATGTTAGGACACAATGGGAAAAAAAAAACACTTGAGCTTTAGATTCAGACCAATCTGTATTCAAACCCTGGCACTGTGTGACTTTGGGGAAAGTATTTCGTCTCTCTGGACTCTAATTTTTTCATCTTTCAAATGGAGTTAAGAATAATTTTATGCCATAAGGTTTACATTTACTGTCTTGTTGAATTTTTGAAATATCTTATGAGGTAAACATTATTCTCCTCTTGAGTATACCAAGGTTCAGAGGGGTTAATCACTTGCCTAAGGTCACATAGCTTGTAGCAAAGCCAATCCCAGGAGGGAAGGTCTGTGCTCTGAACCACCATGCTATCCTGCTCTTCTGAAAGGCAGCCAGATGGTTCAATCTCACTTTCTCCCAAGCCACAGTCAACTCTTCCAGACCCCCTACCCCCCTCATCTTAATTTTCTGTGGCTCTTTAGTTTAGAGGAAGCTTTAATCTAAGGAACTTTTGACTGTTGGTTCCAAATATCTTTTTTGTTTGTATACATTTTTAATTAGGCTTTTTTTTTTTTTTTTAAAGAGACAAGGTCTTGCTATGTTGCCCAGGCTAGATTTGAGCTCCTGGGCTCAAGCAATCCTCCCACCTCAGCCTTCCAAGTAGCTGGGACTACAGGTGTGTGTCACCACACCAGGCTTAGCTGGGCTTCATTCCGAGGATCACAGTAGATTTGTCTAATTAGGGGAATGTAAACTGTAGAGACATCAAGAGCCCACGACTGACTTAAAATGCACATGGTATGTGTGATCTGAATGGGAACGGAAACAAGCACATTTCCCCCAGATGATGAACTTGGGGGCTCTCTAGGGACTGTCTACTATTGGCTAATCTGCAAAGACCAATGTGCCCTGTCCTAACTGTGGGAAGAAATGCTCAGAGCTGCCTTTGAGGTGGAAGCAGGAAATTGGTTGTGTGTCCCTACCCAAAATACACCCTTTATGATTTTAGACGGCATTTTTTTGCCCAGTCTAGAACCTAAACACTTTTACTGGGAAAAGATGATGTAAACCAGTGGGGTGGCCTGTGATAGAGTTCATCATTTCTCAAACTTTAGCGTGACTAAGATTCACTTGGTGAGCTAGCCAGAATACAGATTTCTGGGCCCTTTGCAGAAATTTGGGTTCCGAAGATCTGGGGTGGGACTTGAGAATTTGCATTTCCAAGGGAGGAAGGAATAAAGTAGGGTTGGTTAATGGGTCCAAAAATGCAGGTAGATAGAAGGAATAAGATCTAATGTTTGGTAGCACAACAAATAGGATGACTATAGTTAACAATAATTTATTGTATACTTCAAAATAACTAGGAGATCAGAATTAAAATGTTCCCAACATGCATACGTGTTTGAGGTGATGGGTATTTCAATTACCCTGATTTGATAATTTCACATTGTATATAGGTACCAAAATATCACATGTACCCCAAAAAAACGTAAACTATTTTAGGCCAATTAAAAATCCTAGAAAGAAAAAAGAGACAAACATTGGGAAATAAATTAATATTTGATGTTTTAGTTGATCACCAAAGAGTCAGAGTCTACTTTCTTTCTTTTTTTTTTTTTGAGATGATATCTCACTCAGTCGCCCAGGCTGGAGGGCAGTGGCACAATCTTGGCTCACTGCAACCTCTACCTCCTGTGTTCAAGCAGTTCTCCTGCCTTAGCCTCCTGAGTAGCTGGGACTACAGGCATGTGCCACCACACCCAGCTAATTTTTTGTATTTTTAACAGAGATGAGGTTTCACTTTGTTGGCCAGGCTGGTCTTGAATTCCTGACCTCAAGCGATCTGCCCACCTCCGCCTCCCAAAGTGCTGGGATTCCAGGCGTGAGCCACATGCCTGGCCCCAGAGTCTACTTTCCTACTCCTTCAATCTAGCCCAAACTTAGGACTTGCTGTGGACAATAAAATGCAGGGGAGTGATGGTGCACCAGTCCAGAGGCAAGAGCTCCAAAGGCCTTGCGTGTTTCTGTTTATTCTTATACCCTGCCACCGCCGTGAGAAGTCCCAGGATAGCCTGTTGGAGGGTGAAGCATGTGGAAAAGAAACGCATCGTTCCAGCCACAGCCATCCTGGATCAGCCAACCCTTGATGCACAAACGAGCCTAGCCAAGGTCCACAGAGCCACTCACCAAGCCCAGATCCCTGACAACAAATAACTGTTCTAAGCCACTGAGTTTTAAGATGATTTGTTACATAGCAAAAGCTAACTGATACATTATTCAGCATGGCAAAAAAAAAAAAAGAGTGAAACTTGTTAGACTTCCTACACTTATTTTACAGTTTAGCATGATGTTAAATTGCAGTTGTATAATGTTTACTGTGCTATTTTTAATGCTTTCAGCCACTAAACGTCTTTATCCAGCTCTACTCTTTCTGTCTCAAATATTTACCTTCTGAATAAAATATTATTCAAAGAAAGAGTTTTCCTGCTAAGAAAAAGCCTAAAGATGCCTGAGACTCACAAGGGAAAAAGGGAGTTGCTGAGAATCATGAGTGGAGAGAGGATGGTCCAGGACTTGAGGACCTGGCCTTCTTGATGGGCTTCATCTGCTAACTGAAGGCACCTGCTCAGGTGCGCTAGAAGGGGATCAGAATGAAGCCACCCACCAAGGCCAGAATCACCAGCCCCTGAGACAAAAGGAAATCAGCCTCCAGGTGGAAGCTCCTCATAGATTTTTACCCCTGAAATACTGCAAAGGGCAGCCTCCCATATCCTTCCTGCCTCCCACCTTGATTCTTCATTGTATGCACACAATAGTCACGTAATAAATACCCACCAGATGTCTCTATTAATAAATTATAACTCCCCAAAGGAGTGGGATGATGGAAGTGCTGTTGGGGCATGAAGGCTCTGAAGCATTCAACAGCAGAGGTGTGCAGAAAATTAATCCCTTTTCTTTCCTTTCTTCTTCTCCCCCTCCCTTCCCCTTGGATGCCAACATGGGCAGGTGTCTGCAGGAAGTCTCTTTACAACACAGTGAATGGGATTTTAATGAATCCTGAAGAAAAGGAGGGGCAGCCACACCACGGGACATTTTGCATGTGCCCAGCTGATGTAAAGGCCCCTTTGGATGAAATTTACCCCAACCAGACTAATGGGGTGCAGAAGGGATGCTGTGGGTCCCCCACATCCTCAGAATGCCAAGGGGACCTGGGGCTCCTGCTAATCTATTTAGCCAGACTGCATTCCATTCTGTTTTTATAAAATCCCATGCTCTCTCTCACAGTTGGGCTTGGCAGATGCTGTGTCCCCCACTGGGAGCTCCTCTGTCTTCCCCACCTAGCAATCCTCCCTCTCCTGGTCTCAGCTTACACATCACTTCTTCCAGGAAGCTCTCCATCATCACCCTCAAGTCTGAGCTAGGTGGCTGTCTTTGTGCTCCACAGTCTACTGTGATTCTACGATTATAGCTCTGTACATACTGGAGTACATTTGTTGGTGACTGACCCTTGATTTGTTTGTAGACTCCACTAGAAGTATCTTTATATGTGGCTAACTGTGTATCCCTGGTGCTTAGTGTGGTTATTGGTATTTAGTAGGTACTTGGTATAAGTGTTTATAATAGAGGAAGGGAGGAAGAAAGGGAAGGAGGGAAGGGAGGAGCCTGGGGATGAAGGACAGAGGGGTAGAGGATGAACATGCTACCTTTCCACCTGCAGCATTCATGATGCCTCTAAGAGCTGTGAGACCCTCTCTCTGGAGTCATGAACTTCTCTCTTGCGATGTTCATATTTGTAATCTGACAAGGACTCAGCATCTCTCTCCAGCATGTCTGAATAATATATTCATGATTCCACAGAAAGCAGATCTTGCCTTTCCAGGGTCCTACCAGCCAACAACAGAACTTGTATTCAAATAGTCTTTACAAGTCAGCCTATTCAAAGCTCCCATTTGACAGATGGAGAAACTGAGGCACAGGGCAGGAAGAAGAATTTTTCTGGGTCTCCTCAGTATTAGCTGTGTTAACTAAATCTTTAGAGCATTCTAGCCCTGATAATGTGGTTATTTGGGTCCAAAAAAAGCTAAAATAAATTGTACAAGATCCCTCTATATAAACATAAGGGTAAGTCAAGGTTGTTATTCATACCTTCATCTCATTTTGCTTGATTAAACTTTACAGTTGATAAACCTTTCCTGCACATCTCATTTGATCTGACCATCAGCCGGCGAGGATGGGGGGGGGCAGGGTTATTGTGCCTATTGTACAAACAAGATAACCAAGTCTCAAGGCGGTGAAGGGCTGTGTCCCGAGCCACACAGACCGTGAGTCCCAGAGTCCACGACTGCAGGGAGGGGAGGTCAAAATGACTTTCCATCGTTTCTGAATGTGTGCACCCATCTGAAGATGAGGCTGCTTTTCAGTCTGGCTGCCCAGTTGTTGGACCTGGCATCCAATCTGTCACGCATATTTAGGAAATGAATCCAGTTAGAAATACAAAAGTTGTGAGAAAAGATAGGGCCTCTGTGTCAAAGGTGCTTTCTGGGAAACCAGGATGACCTCTGATGAGGTGACAAAGACCCAATGTACAGCACGTAACAGTCCACAGCCCTGCCCTGTTCCTCGTCATCTTTTATTAATGATAGCAGTTATTAGAGTTAACATTTTCCTTATCACAGAACAGTGTTCCCCAGCAAAATGTTGCAGAAACAAGAGCACTGAGTGGTCAATAAACTTGCTGACATCCTACAAATCACTAACAAGAATTGAGGGCTCACCTAAGAAACATCTTCCATCCTTTTATCAAGTTTGATATGAGGTTTTCTTTATTTTATAATTTTTTTTCTTAAGATAATTTTTTATAACTTAGCTTTTTAAAAAGATATTTAAAATTTGCTAGTTCCTTTTTTAACAATCTCTCTTCAGGGGCAAGCCACCTTGTTCAGAAAAAGAGATAAAATGCAGTTTATAGAAAGAAGTATTATAAAATACTCACTGTTCTTTATCACTGAAGGAAGGCAGAGAAAGGAGAGAAAGAAAGAAATGAATAAAGTTAGGTAAGAAATCATTAAAATATCAACACTGGATGCAACGCTCACATAGTTTGAACTACGATGACCTACTTCCATTTTGTTTCAGCCATTATTACCTTATTTCAGCATCTCTAAAACAAGGCTGCTTCAACTTAGGGTTATGAAACCCACATCTTTGATTAAATTGACAGCCAGTTTGGCTTATTAATTAACTGAGCTGATCATTTAGGTATTTGAATAATGGTTTTGTGGCACTGAAAAGAAATCACTGAATGATCTCAGGGCCATCATTATTCTTGGTTTCTGTTATTTCAAACACTGGTGGACAAGGACTGTACCAGGTAGAGCAATGAGCCCTGAACGGTAGACCTAGTAGTGCCCCGGTTGAGGGAAGCAAATTCTTCCACTCTAGACAGGAGGCCAGCCTCTCCATTTATGAGGCATGCAACCAAAGGCAGGTCATATCTTCCCTTTGTGCCTCAGTTTCCACCTCTCATGTCTGGCACTCTCTCGCTTGAAGACTTGAATGCTAGGCAGAAGTGTCAACAGTGAAAGACCAGCATTTTTCCCCATGTATTTTTTTTTTTTTTTTGACAGAGTCTCACTTTGTTACCCAGGCTGGAGTACAGAGGTACAATCTCGGCTCACTGCTCACTGCGACCTCCACCTCCTGGCTTCAAGCAATCCCCTGCCTTAGCCTCTGGAGTAGCTGGGATTACAGGTGCCCACTACCATGCCTGGCTAATTTTTTGTATTTTTAATAAAGACAGGGTTTCACCATGTTGGCCAGGCTGGTCTTGAACTCCTGACCTTGTGATCCACCCACCCTGGCCTCCCAAAGTGCTGGTATTACAGGCATGAGCCACCAGGCCCAGCCCTCCCCATGCATTCTTAATATGAAGAACTTAACCACTGCCCTAACCAAGCAAGGAGCAGGTGCATTCATTTCTCTCAAATTCCCTGGTTGTTGGTTTCCAATGTAATCATTAAATTCAAGGAGGGTGAGAGAGGAAGACATTTGAAAATAACAAAAGCAGGAAGTGTATCTGGCTAGCCAGCAGTTAATTAAGACCAGATTTGTTAATTTACTGCAGAAAGAAATTATAAGTGTCTGCATTAGTTCACCACCACTGCAGCAGACTCGCTAGCATGTGTGATGACTGTAATTCACCCACTAGCATTTATTGGAAAATAATTTTAATATCTGAAGAAAAGGCAGCAGCAATCAAGCCAGCTAAATGCATTCAGAATGCCAAGATGTTTCATGGGAGCCCAGGAGCGCTTTAATGAAATGGGGTCCAGACTGTTTGGATAATTTTAATTTAATTGTAAGGCAAATTGTTTGGCTTCATATTGACTAAAGTAAACTCTGATGGATGGGATTTTAATTAACTGACATTTCTTAAATAAAATAAATATTTTACTCCATCCACCCTTCAGGCAACTGTTTATCTTACAGAGACACACGTTTTTGGCTGAGGAAATATTCTCTACAAAATAAGTTTGACTCCAAGAAGGCATCATGAAAAGGGCTTTGGAAACTAGCAATTTCCTATGAAAAATGAAAGCAACAGAGTTCAATAGTATCTTCAAAACTGTAAAGCTTGTAGAACTGGAGGAGGTATTAGAAGTAGTAAACAGACATGAAACATTTGCTTTGGAGGATATGGGTGGACTAAATATTCAAAAAGACCCTTCACCAATATATAATTAGATCCTAGAAAAAGTAAAGCAAATGTTTAAACATGCATCTCTGGGATTTCTAGAAAGTCAGGAAATTCTCTAAGATCTCTCTCCCTTTCAAAACAAATCAACCAAATAGACCTCAAATAAAAAATTTTTTCTCCTTGGCAGGCTCGGTGGCTCATGCCTGCAATCCCACCATTTTGGGAGGCAGAAGTGAGTGGATCACAATGTCAAGAGTTCAAGACCGGCCTGGCCAACATGGTAAAACCCCATCTCTACTAAAAATACAAAAATAAATTAGCCAGGCATGGTGGCACACACCTGTAATCCTAGCTACTTAGGAGGCTGAGGCAGGAGAATTGCTTGAATCAGTGAGGTGGAGGTTGCATTGAGCTGAGATCATGCCACTGCACTCCAGCCTGGGCAACAGAGTGAGACTCCATGTCAGAAAAGGGGGAAAAAAAAGTTTTCTCCTCAAAAGACTCCGTATGGAAAGGAAAGGTAAATTATAGACTTGGAGAGAGTATTTGCAACATGTATATATACAAGGGATTTTATCTATAACATAAGGAAATGTGTAAAACTTAATAACAAGAAGATGAATTATCTGATTTTAAAAATGGACAAAAGATTTGAAGAGATACTTCAACAAAGCTATATGAATGGAAAAAATTGAGGGAATGTATTCTCTTCTGGGTCCACAAGGGGGCGTAGTTTCAAAGGCAAGAAATTCCCGGTGCCACACTTCCACCCATGTCTCCATCCGGGAGCTTAGAGGTCTTTAAGTTTCTCATGCGGGGGGAGGAAGGGGAATCAAAGATCACTCCAGTGGAAGTTTAAAGGAATTCGTTTTACAGAAAATCTGAATGGAGTGGGAATTACTCTCAGGTTAAAAGTCCCCTTCCCCCACATTGGTGCAGATTCCATTTCTGGATCCCCTTCCATGACATTGTGCAAGCTGCTCTCCCTCTATTTCTTTCTGCTTTTTCTCTCTCTCTCTGCCTAAATAAATCACTTTCTGCAAAATTCTCTGGGGTTCGATATTTACTTAGGAGCCTACCACACCTGGCGGAGTCCTCTTCCCCATTCTTGGGTGAGTGAGGGACCAAGAGCCTGGAAGAACAAATCTTATCGGGGAGTTGAGCCTCTCGCATGCCCCGGAACCCAGTCTCAGTATATCTAACACCATTAATCATTAGGGAAATGCAAATTAAAACCGTGATGAAATGCCACTATACACACATGAAGAAGGTTAAAATTAAAAAGACTGCTCATACAAAGTGCTGCTGAGGTGGCAGAGAAGCCTGAACTCTCATTCACTTCTGGTGGAATTTTAAATGGTACAACCAACTTGAAAAAGTTTGCAGCTTCTTAAAAAGTTAAACCAGCATCTACCATGTGACTGAAACACTCCACTCTTAGGTAAGTACCCCAAATAAATAAAAATATGTGTCGATACAAAGTTTTATTTGTACTAGCCCAAACCCACTGTCCATCAACGGATGAATGAGTAAATGAGCTGTGGCATATTCACATAATGAAATACTATTCAGATATTAAAAGGAACAAACTATTGATATACAAAACAATATGATTGGATCTCAAAATAAATGAAAAGAAGACAGATAGCTCCATTGCAAAAAAAAGAGTACGCACTGGATGATTCCATTTATATGAAGTTCCAGGAAATGCAAACAAATTTATAGCTAAATAGTGATGACGACTTGGGAATGGGTAGAGAGAGGGAGGGTTAAGGAGGAACTATCAAGGGTAACAAGGAATTTTTGGGGAGAGATATGTTCATTATCTTGATAAATCTGATGGTTTCATGGGTATATACATGTTTACAATCATCAACTTATGGCTGGACATGGTGGCTCATGCCAGTAATTTCAGCATTTTGGGAGGCCAAGGCTGGAAGACTACTTAAGGCCAAGAGTTTGAGACCTGCCTAGGCAACATAGCAAGACCCCATCTCTACTTACAAAAAAAGAACAAACTTATTCAGGTGCAGTGATGTGCACCCACAGTCCTAGATTCTCAGGAAGCCCAAGATGGGAGGATCACTTGAGCCTGGGTGGTTGAAACTACAGTGAGCTATGGTTGTGCCATTGCACTCTGGACTACACCACAGAGTGAGACACTATCTCTAAAAATAGATATATATAAAATTATAAAATTGTGATTTAAATTACCCTACTTTTATACTATTGAAGGTACATTAATTATACCTTTATAAGAAATTTTTAAAAAAGGAAATCCAGCAAACTGAATCCATAACAGGGAGCTGTGAGCAATAAACCAATGCAAATACCAACGTTACACTCCAGGGGCTGATGCAAAGCTCCCAACAGGGTGGGGAAGCTGAATTGGAGACCCCCACATGGAGCCAAGACCCTCGAAGGGAGCCAGAGTGTTTCTGGATGAGCAGAACATCTCCCTCCTGGCAGAAGCAAGTGTAAATATCTCTGAAGAAAAATGCTCCCAAGGCAGGGGCCTAGGATTCTCACAGTCTGAGCATTCAAAGAGCGAGTAATTATGAGTGAAAATCTGCAGGAATGACAAACAACAGACTTAGATGGTCAGAGGCTTCAGGCAGTGGTGTGCTGGCAAATGTTTAACAACTGAATCTCTGGGGAAAGAGCCCCATGGAGGCTAATTTCAAATGCCAACATGATGTGACTAAATGACGAGCTGGGAATAAACATGCAGTTGCATACCTTTATATAGTATTTCCACCTTACAGGCATAGTAGATATAAATAACAGAGAATATCAAAATGTAGTAAAACAGGTCCTGCGCAGTGGCTCACACCTGTAATCCCAGCACTTTGGGAGGCTGAGGCAGGCAGATCACCCGAGGTCAGGAGTTCAAGACCAGCCTGGCCAACGTAGTGAAACCCTGTCTCTACTAAAAATATATAAATTAGCCAGGCATGGTGGTACGTGCCTGTAATTCCAGCTACTGGGGAGGCTGAGGCACAAGAATCACTTGAACCTGGGAAGTGAAAGTTGCAGTGAGCCGAGACTGTGCCACAGCACTCCATCTCAGAAATAAATAAATAAATAAATAAAACCTAATAAAATAATTGAAACATGATTAATTTTGAATAGTTATCACCATTGTGTGTAATATGATTTAATTATAAATATAACTTTATTCATTTTTGAGAAAGGGTCTCTCTCTGTCACCCAAGCTGGCATGCAGTGGCATAATCATAGCTCACTGCAGCCTTGAACTCCTGGGTTTAAGCAATTCTCCTGTTTTAGCATCCTGAGTAGCTAAGACCACAGGCATGCACCACTGCATCTGGCTAATTTTTAATTTGTGGTAGAGATGGAATCTCACCCTGTTGGCCAGGCTGGTCTCGAACTCCTGGCCTCAACTGATCCTCCCACCTTGGCCTCCCAAGTTGCTGGGATTATAGGTGTGAGCCACAGTTCCTGGCCAGGAATAAGTTATAATTAAGTTATAATTTAAAATTATAACAATTTTTAATAATGGCCACGTTTATTATCTGACTCACAAAATTTTTGAAAATTTAACATCCATTCCAATGAGCTTTTATGGTACATACCCAGCATGCCACTGATTCAGGTATAATAATTATTGGATACAGAATGTGAAGTTACTATATGTGAAATATTTAAAGAAATAAAATATGGATTAAAAAACAAGCAAGGGGAAAAAGACTGAAAAATGGTCAGGAAGATACTAAAACTAATGAAAATTAATTTTTAGAAATTAAACATGTAACTACTAAATTCTAAAATGCAATGGGTGGTTTAATAGCAAATTAATATGCTCTAAGACAGAGTATGATGGAAGGTGTGAAGAGATTACCCAAAATGCAGCAGAGAGGTAAAGCAATTTGAAATATAAAAGTGAGAACAGACAGAGCAAGATGCCGACTCAAAGAAAAAAGAGAGAGAGTAAGTGACATGGAGATCTAATACTTATCTAATCAATTCCAGTTAGGGAAAATAGGGAGAACCGAAGAAAAAAAAATTTCAAGAGATAATGCTGACAATTTTCTAGAACTAGAAAATTTCTAGAATTTTCATGCCAAAAAACGTGAATCCACTGTTTCAGGAAGCACAACATGCACCAAGTAGAATAAAACAACAAGAAATATACCCTTAAGCGCATCGCACTACAAAACATCAAAAAGACAGGCTTACATGGAGGGAAAAATCATCTACAAAGGAAAGGCGATTTGTTGACTTAAGACTCTTAACAGACACTTGAAAGCACAACCATTCCTTCAAAGTCCACCTAGAACGACGTAACCTTCAATAACAAGAGATAAACCGATGTTTTGAACTACACACAGTCTGAGAGAGCTCACCAACAGAACTTTACCAAATGAAAAGCTGCACTTCAGGAAGAAGTCAAGTGGCCCCAAGAAGGACCAAGAGCCAGGAAGATTTGAACATTGAACCAAGAAACTAGAAGACAGGCAATTTTTTTAAATGCCAGTATAATATAATAATGTCTAATATATCACACAGTAAACTAGCTCATATTCAGAATATGGAGTTAAATAAGGATTAAACAAAGATACTAGAGAAGAGTAGCATGTAGGTAGGGAGGGTTGGAATTAAAATGTTGTTAGAGTGTTTTAAGCACCTTGTGTTGTCTAGAGGAAGATGTTGAGACAGTGAGTAGCTCCAGATATGATTAGTTATGAACGGTAACATTTTAAGGATACCATGGAAATCACAGGAATGAACCATATGACTTCAAAACCAATAAAGAGAAAAATAGAATATGTAAAGCCTGAAGCCCAATTAACCAATTAATAAAAATAAAAGGCAAGGAAAGAAATAAAAGAACTATAGATAAAGAGAGACAACAGCCACAAGAGAGTAGAAAAGTTAAACTATATAATAGATCAGCAAACTATAGCCCACAGGCCAAATACAGTCAGCCGCCTGTTTTTATTTAAAAAAAAAAAAAATGCCATGCCCATTCATGTGCCCATTGCCTATGGCTGATCTTGTACTGGAACAGTGAAAGTGGAGTAGCTGCAATGGAGACTACCTGGCCAGAAAAGCCTGAAACATTTACTATTTGGTCCTTTACAGAAAGAGTTTACTGATAATTATACTATCTGTAAATGGATTAAAATCATCACCTGAAAGACAAAGATTACCGCACTGAATTAAACAACAACAGAAGAAACAAAATCTGGCTAAAAATACCCTTTATATTCTCTTACCTGAAATGTAACAGGAATAAAAGATTAAAAATAAAAGGATTTTAAAAACTACAAGCTAAAGAAAGCTGATGTTTTTTAATATCATGAAACGGAGTTTGGGACAAAAAAATCATTATTAGAGATAAAGAGAGATATCACATAATGATAAAAGGTTCAGTTTTTCAGTAATATAGATCAACTGCAAATCTGTAGCCATCTCATAGAACTACAGGGAGAAATTGGCAGATCCATGCTGACTGAAGGAGATTTCAACATAATACAAGCAGACTAAAAAGTAGTGAATGTAAACAAATGTTATGAACACAATCAACAATCTCATTTTGATATGTGAGTGACCTTACAAACAATAATTATAGAAGACACATTTTTTCTTATGTATTTGTTGAGTATATCCTAAGATCTAGCTTTAAGCCAAATCTTAACATGTTTTAAATACTAAGCATCATACACATCATCTTCTCCAACAAAAATGCCATTAAACTCGTGATTAATAAAAGTAACAAATTAAGAATCCTCAAACATTTAGAAATTTTTAAATATACCTCTAAATCACTCTTGGGTTAAAGTAGAAATCATAAGAGATATTTAAAATACATGGAAATGAGAAACAATGAAACTACTATATGTTGAAGTTTGTGGGATCATTTGAACGTGGTACTTTGTGTATCACATTTAAAATTACTAATATTAGAAAAGAGGGAAGTTTTATATTAATAAGGTAAATATACAACCCAAGTATTTACAGAGTAATAGAATAAGCTTAAGAAAATGGGAAAGGATTATTTAATAGAAATTAGAACAGAAATTAACCAGACAGTAAATGACAGGGCAATATTAAGTAATTAATAAGAAGGACATTGTCATGTTAATCTCCTTTCCAACCTTATGTACTTCAAGGAGAACGTCTCAGATGGGTTCTTATATGACTTTAACTCTTCTCTACCACTTGCTAGCTGCCTTTTTAAGTGGAAAGCAAGTCTCAGGCTCAGAGCCTCTGTGAGGCTACAGTTTATAGCTAGACTGTAATAACATTGTTTCTTTTAATTATTTATCTTTATGCTTACCTTTGTTCATAGAAAGCATGAACGAATTATCCACTTACATCCATTTGTGATGAAAAGTATTCTTGTTAAATAGAAGTGTTTACCTTTTATAAGTAGCCAATTAAGAAATAATAACAATAATGATATTTCATAGATAAATTAAAAACTGTAAAGGTAGCGCTTAAATGACCAAGTTTAGGGAAACACTGCTCCCCAATAAGGAAAAATCTTTGCCGAAAAGCCTTTGCAGGCTGGGGGCAGTGGCTCACATCTGTAATCCCAGCACTTTGGGAGGCCAAGACGGGAGGATCACTTGAGCCCAGGAGTTTGAGACCAGTCTGGTCAACATAGCAAGATCCTATCTCTACAAAAAATTTAAAATTAGCCAGGCATGGTGGTGCATTCCTGTAGTCCAAGCTACTCAGGAGGCTGAGAAAAGAGGATTGTTTGAGCTCAGGAGGTCAAGGCTGCAATGCGTTCTGATTGCATTGCTACATTTCAGCTTGGGCAACGGAGCAAGACCCTGTCTCAAAAAATAAAAAATATATCCTTTCTATATTCTTTGGGCCACAACAACTACACCCTCACATCTATTCTTTTTACAAAAATAACCATATCCTCAACTGTCCTACCCAGAATTTAAACTCTTAAACTGACCCTAAAATACTGTCTAATATGAGATCCCCAGAAGTTCACAGTTAAGGAAACTCGGAGGCCATCTATTCCAGGGAGACTAAATGGGATGGGTGGATAACAGACATGTCCACAGTGGGCCAGGATTAGAGACCAACAAGAAATGATGGGGACTGTGGAAAACTGAGAGCTCTTGCCAGTCCAAAGCTATCAGCTGCCACGTGACTTCTGCTGAACTGTGGGCAAAATTGTTGTCCAGTGTTTTCAGGTCTGATCTTTTGAAGACATGGCAGAAATCTGGACTTTCATGTGAAGTCTCCCAACTTTTACATCATCAGGCCCCAAAGTCTTTGTTTGTTTGTTTGTTTGTTGTTGTTATTGTTGTTTTAAACACACTTCTGCAAGTCAGAGTTAGCCTGCGGTCTGCCGGTTTGTCATCTCTGATCGAGTGCAACTTCCTTATTTGACTGATAAGGAAACTAAGGGCCCGAGAGGGGAAGATTTTTGCCTATCATCGCGCAGTAAATTAGCCCATATCCAGAACTAGAACCCAAGTCTCCTTCTAACCACCAGGTCATTTCTCTCTCCAGTCCACCAGACCACCTATTCTATGCAGCACGAGACTCAGAATTTAATCTTGTCCTTTCAACCTTGCAAAATAGTCGAACTAGGGGAGACGTTTTCATGGTAAAACCCTTTAGGTTCCTCTCCCCTATCTTAGGGAAGGAAGCTATTCCTTCTCTTTTTTTTTCAAATGTAGAACTGTCAAAACGTCAACTCAAAACAAGCCACTCCCCGGAAGACGCAGCAACTTACTTTGATGGAAGGGGCCGGTCACTGGGGTACATCCAACGGCTAGAACTGTTGCTGAACACGGTGTCAGTCATGGCAGACGTCTAGTGCTCCTGGAAAACATGAACCCAGAGAGGACATCGCCTTGTCATTCAGCCACTCCTTAGTTCTCAAGTCCCTGCTTTATGCCACGCACCCAGTGAGACAGAGAAGAAAGAAAACTAAATCTGGTTTCTTCATTTTCCAGATGGGGAATCTGAGACCCTAAGAGGGAAATTGTCCTGCTGGAAGTCACAGCTACCCCGTGGACCAGAGGGAAGAACTCCCTCACCTAAATCCAAGTTCTTCTCATTCACTGGTGAGGAAAGGCTGCCACACTTCCAGCAGTGTGTGGGGCAGAGTTAACTCGAATCCAGGGTCTTTCTACTGAGCAAGTCATCTGACTTTGCTGTCTTACAGTCATCCCTGCCTTTCCTTCCTGCCCTTCCCGCCCTTCCTTCCTTCCTTCCTTCCTTCCTTCCTTCCTTCCTTCCTGCCTGCCTTCCTTCCCACCCTTCCTTCCTTCCTGCCTGCCTGCCTGCCTTCCTTCCCGCCCTTCCTTCCTTCCTTCCTGCCTGCCTGCCTGCCTGCCTGCCTGCCTTTCCTTCCTTTCCTCCCTTTCCTCCCCTTCCCTCCCTTCCCTTCCTTCCTCTCTCTTTCTTTTATTATACTTCAAGTTCTGGATACATGTGCAGAATGTGCAGGTTTTTTACATAGGTATGTACGTGCCATGGTGGTTTGCTGCACCCATCCACCCATCATCTACATTAGATATTTCTCCTAATGCTATCCCTCCTCTAACCCTAAGGGCCCACCCCCTGATAGGCCCCAGTATGTGATATTCCCCTCCCTGTGCCTATGTCTCCTTGTCTTTTTAAAAAATACTCTACATCCAAGCTATTGGAAAATGGTATTGGCTTGATCTTTAAAACAAACTTAGGATCTGCCTACTGCTTTCAGCCCGCATTGCTATTACGCTGATCCAATCTGCCACTATCTCTGCCTGACTTAATGCAAATGACTCCTCCTTGGTTTTTCTTCATCTACCCTTGTCTCTTTTCATTCATTATTCATAACCACGAAATAGAAAAAGCCCAGTATTCACCAACTGATGAGCAGATCAACAAAATGTGGTGTATCAATGCAACGTAGCATTATTTCGCCATAAAAACAGATGAAGTATTGACATGGGCTGTGATGTAGGTGAACCTTGAAAACATGATGCTAAGTCAAAGAAGCCAGACAGAAAAGGCCATATATTGTGATATTCCACTTATATAAGGTATACGGAATAGGAAAATCTATAAAAGATAAAAATTAGATTCGTGGTTGCCCAGGCTGGGAGGTGCTAGGGGTGCAGGGTTCCTTTGTAAGGACAGTGTAAGTATTCTAGAGTTGATCATGGTGATAGATGCACAACTCTTGTGAGGATGCTCAGAGCCACGGAATTGTCCATTTTAAATGGGTGGATCATATTACCTGTGAGTTATAGCTCAATAAAGCTGGGAAACAAAATGGTGCCACCACTTTGGAAAACTGTTTGGCAGTATCCAGTAAGCTAAAAGTCCATCTACCCTGTGGCCAGGGAATTCTACTCAGGTATGTACCCAAGAAGTATACTCAGGTATATACTCGAGGAAAAAGTGCTTAGGTTCTAAGACATGTACAGGAATGTTCACAGCAGCTTCATTCATAATAGCTTAAAACTGGAAACCATCCAAATGCCCACCAACAGGGAGCAGATCCCGCCGTTGTGGTTTATTTGTACAGCGGAATGCTGGTGAGCAATGACAGAGACACTTCTGATATAGTACGTGTAACACCCTGGATGAATCCACAGACATCATGTTTGGTGAAAGATGCCAGGAACCAAAGGCAACACAATGTTGGATGATATTGACATAGAGTTAAGAAACGACTAAGCTATTTGGCAGTGACAGAAATCAAGGCAAATAAGTTGCTTATTTTCGGGAGGCTATTGATTCAGAAGGTGCAGGAGAGGACCTCCACGGGGTGAAGATATTTCATATCTGGATCTGGGTAGCCACTAGCCAGGCATAGACATCTGCAGAAGCCATCAAGCTAAACTCTTAAGATGTGTGTGCTTCACGTCCTTCCCTTTTCCCCACAAAAAGCAAGTCAGTTATGTCACTATTTTGCTCAAGAGTCTTCAGTGGCTCCCCATTGCTCCTAAAGTCTAAACCCCTTAGCACAGCCTGGCTCCCTGTGGTCTCCTTCTCTTCCTCCCACTCTTCTCATGCCCTCTTTCCCAGCCCCAAAGGCCTTCCTGCTGCTCCCTCAACATCCCCAGCACATTCCCGCTTGCTCTTCCCTCAGCCTGGAAGCCTTCCTGCAGATCCTTGTTCAGCTTACTCTCACACTTTGTATAGATTTGCTCCTAAATGCCACCTCCTCCAAGAAGGCCTCCCTGACCACCTAATTTAAAATAGCTCCTACGGGGGTGTCAGTGAAGGGAGAGCATCAGGATAGATAGCTAATGCATGCAGGGCTTAATACCTTAATAACAGGTGCAGCAAACCACCATGGCGCACGTTTACCTGAGTAACAAACCTGCACATCCTGCACGTGTGCCCCAGAACGTAAGATGAAATATATATATATATTTTTTTTAAATAAATAAATAAATGAAAATAGTTTTTCTTCTCTCTTCTCCATTCTGGCCTCCTTTACTCTCAATTTTCTTCCTAGCTCTTAGCACTACCCCAATTTAATATGAGTTGTTTATTTTTACGTTTGTATCTTTGCTTAGAGTTTGAATCCCCCTGCCAATATGTAGGCTACACAGAACTTTTTCCATTTTGTTCACTGCTTGATCTCCAGCACTAGCATAGTGTCTGGCACCTAGAAGAGACGTAATGAAAACTTGCTGAATGTGTGAAAGAGTTGCTGTCAACACTGTCACTCCGGCTGAACTCAGCCAGGCTTCATTTCTCTCCAAACCTGCCGCCAACCCCACCCCTCGAAGGTCCAGCCAGGAGTAAGAGAAAAGAGACCACATGGAAATGGCAGTAACTGTTTTAAAAACAAATGGAAAGTAGATCGGCGTGTCTAGGGGGTCCTGATTTCCCTGTAGGTCTTGTTTTCTGTAACGCTGAATAGATGAGAACTTGGGAGGTGAGCACACAGTGACCTCCCTCTCCTGTCCTGTATCCTTTGTAATTATTCAATCTCAGTGTGTGGGGAAACCAGAGGGGAGTGCTGGTTGGACCCGTAGCAGAGAAGGTCCCTTAGAGTAAAGCTATTTCATCTGCCCCCATGTGGTTAACATAATCTTCCCAGATTAGTATGGCATTTCATTGTTTCCACTTCAAAAACAGAAAGGAGAGACAGCTCCTGTTGTGAGAGAAATTTGCTGAAAAAGAACTTTAATGTCTCAGTATTGCCTGTGCTGAGAGCCGAGCAGGCTGCCCTGGAGCCCCCCACCTGAGAACCCCTGGCCCCTGCTGGGTGCAAAGAGGCTCAGTCCCAGGAATGAGCTACCTCGGCTGCTGTTGGTCTAGAAAGCTGAACCTGCAACTGGAAGTTTCATCTGCTGCTTTGTAGCAGAGAGAAAGCATGGCCCTTAGAGACCCTGGGAGGAAGGTAGGTCTGGGGTAAGGGAGACACATCATCACCTCCCAGGAATTCTACTCTCCGAGCTCCATCATCCTCAGGGCAGAATCTGGTCTGCTCACACTCTTTTATGTTCAGTCATGCACACCAGGGTTGTGTTTCCCACTAAAACTCCACCTGCAAAGCCCAAACTCACTGGCTGACTACCCAGTGGAAACCACCCAGCTCCATCCCTCCAGGCTGAAAGCCACCCTGCACAGCCCCGGTTATTTCAGCTTGGCCACTCGAGGGTCTCAATGCACTTAACATCCCAGCATTGGACTCTTTATCTAGTGCTTACCCCAGTCCACCAGGCCTGGACCAGAAGAGGAAAATGCTCAAGCAATCCAAGATAATTGAACAACTAGAAAAACAGGCCCAGGGAAAGGAGGGTGTGTGTCCACTGGCAGATCTGGGATGGAGGTGGAGATGCAGCTGGGAGGTGGGGGCGGGGGGGCATCATAATAGTCACTGTTGATTCCCCTATCTGGATCCCCCTACAGCTGGTGCACCCTCCCGATCCCAGCCTCTAGGAGTGTTAGCCGCAAAGGGCTCATAGCAGCACCATTTTCCAGAGAATTGCCCTCAGCCAACTGGAGCTGCCTTGCCCAGATACCAAGGAGCAGCCCAAAACCAATGGCTAATGTATAAGAGAAGGGTAGAAAAGTACAACCCCCTTGTCCCAGGGCAAGATGGCTCTGTGCTGCCATCACACTCCAGACCTCCCCACGACTGAGCTGAGGCCAGACTGCAGGTGAAGCCACACCCTCGCCGAGCTTCCTCTGTTGCCCTGTCCTGCTTGCCTCACTCCCTAGCAGCTTCCTCCTTGGAGGAATCCCTGGGTCCATCACTAGTACAAGAATGCACATCTGAGGTTCTGCTTCTAGGGAACTTGACTTGTGTGGGAGGAGACAGGAGAATCTCAGGGAAGCATGGTTCTGCTCCACAAGCTCATTACATCACCCCTGGTGGTCACTTAGCCATTTTCTAATCCAATAAAGCATGATCCTAAAATGTTCTCCTGAGATGTTTTTCTATGGGCCTGCAGATGATATTTCATGAAGGCCAACTCTTTGTGAAGAGTTGAGGGTGAGTCAACAGAAATGAAGAAAGTCCAGTGGTGAGCCTCAGACATTCTCAAACCACTCCCCACTTTCCCATCACTCACTACAGAGAAATCATCATCATAGGAGGAGGCCTGAGGCCCAGGGAGGACCAGGAGAAGGAAACCAACCATGGATACCAGAAGCAAAAGTATAAATATAAGTGTCACAGAAATGGTACCAATTTCCAGCTCTAGGACCACTGCAGAAGCTTGGCTCACTGAGAAGTTTAAACAACAGCTACACTCTCTGGCACACAGCAAACACTCGCAAAGTGGTAATTCCCTTTTCCTGTTTCTTCTATACTTGATTCAACAATAATGACTTACGTTTGTTGAGCACCTATTATGCACCAAATT